AGGAGCATCACCACATGGCGTGTAGACGGCAGTGTACCGACTTGACATTGGCTTCCCCAGTTTTTCCTCCTGTCCGACACACACACACACACACACACACACACACACACACACACACACACACACACACACACACACACACACACACACACACACACACACACACATATATATCACATACCATAATTTTCCCCTTCCCTCTCTCCTACCCTCCCACTCTTCCTCTCTGTTATTTTCCCCTCCCTCTCATTCACTCCTACTTCCTTTTTCTCCTATTCTCTTCTTCCCCTTTCTCATTCTGTCCTTTCTCTTCTCTCATTCTCTCCTCCTCTTCTCTCATTCTATCCCCTCCCTATTTTTAAAATTCTCTCCTCCGTTCTCTCGATCCCTCTCTTCCCCCTCCTCTCATTCTCTCTTCCTCTCTTTATCCCATTTTCCTCAGTCTCCCCCCTTCCTATTTTTTTACCATTCTCTCTTCCCTCTTTATCATTCTCCTCTTCTCTCTTCCCCCTTCTCTCATTCTCCCTTCCTTCCTCACTTTCTCTTCTTCACGTCTCTCATTCTCCTTCCTCTCCTTTCTCTCATCACCCCCCCTTGTCTTTCGCACCCACACCCCTTACACTCCAGACCGTTCCAAACCTACACACAATACCTCCCCTCCTCTCTCAATCTCTCTCCTCCCCCCTCCTTTCTCTCATCCTCTCCCCTCCATCTATTTCCCACCCACACCCCCTTCCACTACCAGACCTCCCTCTCTCTCTCTCAATCACTCTCTTTCCCCCTCCCTCTCCCATCTCTTCTCCTCCTCTCCCTTCTCTCATCCTTCTCCCCTCCTCCTCTTTCCACCCACACCCCTTCCCCTCCAGACCTCTCTCTCCCTCTTTCAATCTCTCCTTCTTCCCCCTCCCTCTCTCCATTTTTCCACCTCCCCCTCACTCTCTCAATTTTTCCACCTTCCCCCTTTCTCTCATCCCCCCTCCCTTTCTCTCATTCTCCCCCCTCCCTTTCTCTCTCCCCCCCCCTCCCTCCCTTTGTCTCATCCCCTCCTCCCCCTCCTTTTCTCTCATTCTCCTCCTTCCCTTTCTCTCCTCCTCCCGCCCTCCCCTTTCTCTCATCCTCTCTCCTTTCTCTCTCCTCCTCCCCCTCCTCCCTTCCCTCTCTCCCTCTTTCTCTCCTCCTCCCCCCCTGCCCTCCCTTTCTCATCCTCTCCCCCTCCTCCCCCCTTCCTCCTCCCTCCCTTTCTCTCATCCCTCCTCCCCTCCCCTCCTCCTCCTCTCTCCACCCACACCCTTCCCCTCCGGACCTTCCCAAAACCCCACACACAATACCTCGTGATCAGACACCTCCTGCGACGTCTCGGATGTCTCTGAGGACGTCGTCGGGGTGATGGGTCGCGTGTCCTCGGGCGTCGCCAAGCCTATGTTGATGAGGATCTCCCCAAGAACGTCTTCAGGTTCCTCCTCACTCTGGCGTAGCATCGAGTAGACGACTCGTGGGTACCGCCTGGAAGGAGAGGGTGACGTAAAGGGTTCATGAGTGTATTGTTATCATTGCTGTTGTTATCATTATCATTTTTATTGTTTTTCTTTTGTAGACGACTCGTGGGTACCGCCTGGAAGGAGAGGGTGACGTGAAGGGTTTATGAGTGTATTGTTATCATTGTTGTTATTATCATTATCATTTTATTGTTATTCTTTTGTAGACGAGTTGTGGGTACCGCCTGGAAGGAGCGGGTGACGTGAAGGGTTTATGAGTGTATTGCTTATCATTGCTGTTGTTATCATTATCATTTTTATTGTTATTCTTTTGTAGACGACTCGTGGGTACCGCCTGGAAGGAGAGGGTGAAGTGAAGGGTTTATGAGTGTATTGTTATCATTGTTGTTATCATTTTCGTTTTTATTATCCTTTTTGTTATGATAATTATCATTTTGTTTGTTATCATTATCATCATTTTGTTTATTATAATCATTATTTTGTTTGTTTGTTATCATTATCATTATTTTGTTTGTTATCATTATCATTTATATTTATATTTCATATTGTTCATTCATGCATCAATTTATTCCTTTTTCTTTTTTGTTTTTTCAAGTCTCCATTTGTTTAATTTTGCGTTGCTATTTTCCATCATTATTTTCATTTATCAACATTCATTCCCTTATCCATATCACGAAGATAATCTTTTGATAATTGAGAGCTGAGTGATGATTATTCTACAACAACAGCTTTGCAAAAACATTTAAAACACTGATAATTTAATAATGATAAATCTTTGATAACTGACTTGATAATGATAATTATTTGGCAAATTGCAGGTTAGTGATAATAACTAGATAACTGACAGTTTGTTAATTGGCGATTATTCGAAATACAATAAGCATTCAACCACCCATTATACAACCCCATAAATCTATATCTGCCTTGATATAAAAGGTATAATTATCATTATTTTCGTACTAATAATGTGGATATCTTTACCTGTTGTACTGTAGTAGTTTCTTAAGCACTAGTTAATTAATTAATGTATTTATCACCTTCTTTCTTCCTTTATTTTTATTTTTACTTTGATTATCATTTTTTTGTTTGATATATGATAATCAATTAGAGGATTTTTTTTATTAGTTTTTTTTTCGTCTTGTATGAAAATACACTGTGGCAAACGTATGTGTAGCATCATTACGAGTTTGTGAATGTCATAGCCGTAGTTGAAAAGACCAAACAAAACTGAATATTCATTACCATCATAATTGCAATTAGCATAATTATCTTGTGACATTCTCCGAGTTTCCAATATATAGATATATATAAATATTTATGCGATATCATATCAACCTGGTTTTTTCCAATTTCATAATGGGTATCAGTCAATAAATCAATACTTATTTTATATTGCTATTCTACCTTCTATTATTCAGAATAAAACAATTTTCTACATTAATATTTCAGATAAAGATGACTGTTTATTGTTTTAACTAATCTATACACTCATGTTTATTAATTCATTAATTATCTATTCAACTAATCCATACACGTGTTTTATAATAGAAAATAAGTGAATAAGATATGTACACGCACACATACATATCAATCTACCTGTCTATCTACATATCTATATCAATCTACCTGTCTATCTACATATCTATATCAATCTATCTGTCTATCTACATATCTATGTCAATCTACTTCTATCTACATATCTATATCAATCTACCTGTCTATCTACATATCTATATCAATCTACCTGTCTATCTACATATCTATATCAATCTACCTATCTACATATCTATGTCAATCTACCTGTATTATCATATATCTACCTGTCTATATCTTATCTATATCCAATCTACCTGTCTACATATCTATATCATATCTACCTGTCTATCTACATATCTATATCATCTACCTGTCTATCTACATATCTATATCAATCTACCTGTCTACCTGTCTATCTACATATCTATATCAATCTACCTGTCTATCTACATATTTATATCATATCTCTCTTTCTTTCGCTTTTTTTCTTTCTCTTTCTTTCGCTTTCTCTCCGCTTTTCTTTCTCTTTCTCTCTCTCTCTCGCTCTTTTTCTTTCTCTCGCTCTCTCTTTCTTTCGCTTTCTTTCTTTTCTTTCTCTCTCTTTCGCTTTCTTTCTCTTTCTCTCTCTTTCTTTCTCTTCTCTCGCTTCTCTTTCTATTTTCTCACTCTCTCTCTTTTTCTATTTTTTTATTTCTCTTTCTTTCGCTTTTTTCCTCTCTCTTTCTTCTCTTTCTCTTTCTCTCTCTCTCTCCGCTTCTCCCTCAGGGAAATCAGCGACAGCATCCTTCCTTCGACTACCTCTCATTCGGGGAAATCTTCGTTGTTGTTCTTGAAAACCGATCCAAAATAAACTTACTTTTCTATATCGTCAAAACCTTAGGTTGGTCTCATCTTAACCTCAACGTAAGTCAAAAAACGCAAAAAAAAAGAAAAAAAAAATGAAGAAAAGAAAAGAAAGAAAATAAAGAAGAAAGGAAGAAAAAAAAGGAAAAAAGAAAAAAGAAAAAAGGGAAAAGAAAAAGAAAAGAAAACGTAACCCGGAATTAAGACACGAAATGAAAAAACGCCAAAAATAAAAAGAAAAAAAAAAACAAGAGAAAGAAAGAAAGAAAAAAAAGGGTTACATATATTCCTTGCGATTGTATTATTTTAAAAACACGATTTTTATATTTTTTAACCATAGCAGAATATACAAGTTATCCCTAAAGAGATACATTTCCTGATGTAAAACTATCATGCTTATTTAGCTTTTAAATTAAAATTTGGGATGCAGGTGTGTGTGTGTAACATATGTATACTTAATTGATTATCTATACACACACAACTCTCTCTCTATTTACCTCCCCATCTCTATCTCTCTCTGTCTTCCCTTCCTTCTCCTCCTCTCTCTCTCTTTCTCTTCCTGGATGCAAGCGTGTTTAATATATCGATTCGTAATTATCTTTTCACACGCAAATCTCTCTCTCTCTTTCTATCTATTTATTTCTCCCTTTCTATCTCTCTGTCTTTCCCTTCCTCCTCCTCCTCTCTCTCTTTCTCTTCCTGGGATGCAGGCGTGTTTAATATGTCTATTCGTAATTATCTATTCACACACAAATCTCTCTCTCTTTCTCTCTCTCTCCCTCTCTTCTATCTCTCTCTCTTCTCTTCCTCCTCCTCCTCCTCCTCTTCCTTTATCTCTCTTCCTTTCCATTCTTCGTTTCAAGAATAACTAACCACGTCTTAAAAAATATTTTACTTTCCTATTTTTCAGATGAACATTTGAGATCAATAATTATTAAACGTTTATAATGACAATGGAATAGTTTTACTAAAACTTTCGTAATGATTAAAACTTGAACATTATTAAGGATTATTGTTAATTATACAAAAAATAACGATGATGATAAGATTAATAATAGTAAGGATTATGAAGGTGTTATGGAGATTGTGGTTATGAATATGATGCTATTGATTATCATAAGAAAACATATACGTGTGTGTGTGTTTACATATATATATATATATATATATATATATATATATATACACATTCAAATATATATACAAATACAAATATATACAAACATTCATACATACACACACACACACACACACACACACACACACACACACACACATATATATATATATATATATATATATATATATATATATATATATATATATATATATGTATGTATGTATACACATACATATATACAAACATATATATATATATATAATATATATATAATATATATATAAAATATATACACATAACTTTAATGAAAATGCCAACAAAAGCAGTATTATCAAAACACCTACAATAATAATAATGATAACAAAAACAATAATAATAAAATAAATCATATCAACAAGAATGACAGCAATAAGAGACCCACAGTAATATCTATATTGCAAAACCAATATGAACGATGATGATCATGTTAATGACAGAGCAGCAATAACATCACCATAATCAACAATAAAAGTGTTGATAATATCACGACAAAGATAATAAATGCAACAGTAATAGAATAACAATAATAGAAGTATGAGTATGACAAATAACAACAGCACTATCATTGTTAATAACAATAATTATTATAATAATAATAGCATTATCAATCTTCTTAACAAACAAACAAACAAAACACACGCACACACACACACATATATGTATACATCGCATATATCTTACTATACTCCGTTTAATTTGAGGAAAAGGAACACTTGGCAACTGTCCTTTGACTCCGGGTGCTTCGATTCGCCAAATCTCTCCTCAAGAGAAAAAGAATAAAGTGGTGTATGGTACTGAATATAGTGTATGTGACTTAAAGCAACAACAAACATATATAAGCCTAAGTAGTAAGTGTCAGATGAATAGCATAAGAAAAAGTATCAGGACTTCCCAACAGTGTTACCACCATTACCGCAAACGATACGAATGCAACGCCAGAGCCATGGCTTCGGCTTAAATTTGTGTTGGTAATCAGTGATGCCGTATACTTCATGATCCAAAATACACAAAACTGTAATACAAGTAAAAGATTAGCAAAATTTAACTGAAGTGCAGCCGTTGCTATTGGTTAATATAATATGTTACAGAGATCTTAATCCGAAGTTTAGGTTCCATCATCGCATTCGTACGGTCTGCGGCAATGGTGGATTCAATGCTCCCCAAAATCTAGAGCGATTTATCAGTTTCCTTGTGGTAGTTGAACGCACCTTTGGGAAGAAAATTTGAGAAAATCGACAACAAATACAGTATTGTATAGTGATTTTCTTCGTTTTAAAAGGAAAGAGAGAGAGAGAGAGAGAGAGAGAGAGAGAGAGAGAGAGAGAGAGAGAGAGAGAGAGAGAGAGAGAGAGAGAGAGAGAGAGAGAGAAAGATGGCGACAGTGAAGAAAAAATAAATCGGCAATAAAAAAACAACAAAAAAATAAACACTGAGAGAGAGAGAGAGAAACAGAAACAAATATAAACACCGACCACGTGAACGAAATTTATCACACCATTTCCTTTCATCGCGATACGTCTGTCAGCCGACCCACGCAAAGTGAACGATATATCACATTGTTTCAGCCAAAGTTCAGAGAGAAACGACTCATCATCAACACCTGATAACTCAGTATTAAGGCTTTACATAAAATATATTCGAAGAGGATGACCTGGTTAACAAAATCATCAGTAAATTGATAATTTCGCAAATATTTTTAAAAATAGCTTTATCATTAGTACAACTATCTCTAAAACATTATCATAATAAGATCATCATTACTCTTTTTATTGATATTGTTACTACTATTACAACTACTATCTTAATCAGTTATTTCTATGGATTTTATTGTCATCATAATCAATCACAATCACTTCTGGCGTTTATGATTGTATTTTTTTCTTTTGTCAGTTAAACTTGGTTTATGCGTCATATTACAGAACCTGCAATGATTTAGATTTTCTTTTATCCTTTTTTCTTATCAGCCGGTATATTTTTTTCATTATACTATTATTCTCTAACGTTTATCAACATACATGCACACAGTCGCAGATATATAAACTGTGCGTACACCAACTTACAGGCTGATACAAACACAAAACCATACAGATAAATATATATACACACACACACACACACACACACACACACACACACACACACACACACACACACACACACACACACACACACACACACTCACACACCAAGAAACGTGCACACAAACCACACACACACACGATTTCTCCCCTTCTCGTGTGACACAGTGCCCAGGAAATCAATAGAAACGCCAATAGATTAACCGAAAGGGGAAATCCTGGCTGATCGATTACCTGTTACTGTGGTCTTCAGCAGCTACATGCCTGGGGCTCGTATACACCACACCCCACACGCAACAACACACACGTGCGTACACATATGAACGTACCATGGTTCCTAGATGTCACACTTGTGGATATAGATGAGCCTGTGATTCGGTTGACGTGT